AAACCTTTCTAGTTCACTGCATCATTGCTAGAAGGTTGTCATTGCTATATGTCTAATCAAGCCATTAGAATACAAGAAACTACAAAAGGATGGGTTGAAAAAAAGGAGAGGAGGATATTTAAAAATGTCTAAATAGATGACAAGAAAATAAAAAGTAAAAATTTAAAAAAAATATTTCGAGCTTCCTCTAAAGACCTGTTTCTCAAGACTTCTTCTCAATAAGAAATATCCGATTGGAATATCCTTTCTTTTTCTAACTATCTGAGAAACTTATCCATTCTTGATTTTGATTTTCTTCTTATATACTGTCTGAGAAGACTTATCGCCTAGTAGGAGCCTTTATTTTTAGGACATATTTAGTTTCAATCTTCTTTGGGTAATGATTTTTTATCCACTTGCAGTAAACAGATGACTTATAATGGATCCCAAGTTTTTATGTGACCTAGTAAGGATTAGGTTATATTGTTTCAGTATAATACCTTCCAGCAGCCATATCTAATTAAAGAAATTTTACTGGTATACATTTTCCATTATCCAAAAGGCCAGATTCCTCAATAATCTTTTTGCCTTGTAATAGTGGGAGATTAACAATAGTGGTGGGGATCCTCGTCAATTGTGATATCCTTTAACAACTTCTGAAGAAATGTATTCTCAATTGTAACCAAAGAGTTGAAGCTTAATATGGACTATAGACCATTCAATCTTATTGCTTGATCAGGATAAGAGGGAGACCTTGGTTTTGAACTTTGCTTGACTGGAATAATAGGAGAGAAAGATTTCAGCTTGAACAAATAGCAGCTTTTTCACCATTTGGAAACTTGTTGCTCGTATCTTATTGGCCTCATAGTATTTGATCTATAGATTAACTAATTGGAAGAGTGGGGTGGACATGGGGCACCAATCAACTCTTTCTATTATCAATGACATCATCGGAATATGTGAGGTGATCAATAAAAGCTTGTTTACATTTTATTACTAACGTATTTCATGTTAACCAATCAGATATCAGGTAACATTATGCTACCAAAAATTCAGGATCAAATTGAGGTAGGTAAAATTTCTCAAGAAAATTGTGAAAAATAGTAAATACTTTAAGAGAGTATAAGACAATATGTGAGAAGGTAGATAATAAGTCTTCTCCTGTTAACAGAACCTCTATTATTTGTTACTTCTAGCTTTATAAAATGATATTTCACTTGTCAATCCTTTTACTTCTTAGAACCTTTTTGTCCTTAGTAGAGGAAGTATATACTTGAGTCTTTTCAGGCCACTAGAGGCTCAAGTTTTTATTCAAAGGAGTTTATCAACAAATAAGAAATAGTAGAAAAGATACATGAAGACAAGCTTCAAGTTGTTTTAATGAAAGTGTAAAGACTTTATTAGCAAAGAAGTATAAAACTTCTTGCAAATATCTTTTTTGTGTGTGGTTAAAGGATCAGCAGAAAGAGTTTTTTTTTATTTTTTATTTTTAAGACAAAGTTATAATAAGTTATTATTAATCTATATATATATATATAAGATAATTAATATTATACTTAAGTTTTAATAAAGAGCTTATATATAATACTAGTTGTAATTTAAAATAATAATAATAATTTTTATTAAAAAATATAAAATAATCTTGAAAATTAAAAAAAAAAAATTTTTTTTAATAAAAAAATCAAATTAATATTAATATTATTAAAATTATTTTATAAAGTGATTAAATTGTTTTTTAATAAAAATTAAATTATTATTTTTCAATTAAAAAATTAAACTATTATTATTAATTTTTTTAATAAAAAGATTAAAAATTATTATTATTATTATTTTAATATAAAAATCAAAATAATATTATTATTATTAGAAAAATTAAATTAATTTTAAAAATTCAATAAAATTTTTATAAATTTTAATACTTAAATAAATAAAAAATTTTATTTAATATAAATCAAATTTATAAAAAAAAATTTTTTTTTTGTTAATTCTCCAATTATATATAAAAAAATATTTGCTAGAAGTTTTTTTATTTCTTTACTACTAAAGTCTTAATGCTTTTATTAAACCAATTTGAAATATGATCTCAAGAGTTGTTTTTATTCTTTTCTTCTTATTTATAAACTCTTTCACTCAAAAACTTGATATCTATTAATCAAAAAAATTAAGTAATATCTTTAATACAAGTAATAAGAAAGTTTCCAAAGAAAAAAAAACTGATTGTAAAGTATCTAGTAATTTTTTTAATCTTTAAAATGAAAGGTTTATAAAGATTTTGTATAGTAAAAAGACTTATTTTTTCTCTTTTTAATTGTTTTATTCTCTTAGAACTTTTACTTTTATGGTTTTTTGAGAAATTTTATTTATCTCAGTTTGACTCTGAATTTTAAATAATACAAATTCTCATAAAAGTAATTAATTAATATAAAATATATTAGTTTTTAAAATATAAACAAGCTTCTATTGATCATATTCATATATTTTAATAATATTATTAATGATTAAAAAGAATATTTAAAAAATGTTTGTTTATTTTTAACAGTCTAATTTCCTTAATAAAAACATTCATAATATTAAAAAACCAAATAATGAATAATATAGATTGCAGATTTCTATTTTTTATTTAAGTTTTTCAGAAAATAACAAAGTTTTAATAAATAAAATCTAAGATTTTAATGTTTTTCTTGAAATATTTCAACATTCATTTAAATAAAGAATCCATTGAATTGACTTATCTAATACCATAGATAATATCAAAGAAGATTTATTTTGAGATTCAAGTGAAGCAAAAAAAACTATTCCAATCAGATAGATCCCTTTTAAGAAAAGATTGTTTTTATTTTTAAACTTTTTAATTAATCTTGAATTTTTTCTCTTCTCCTAATCATTTTTTTCTTTCACTAACTTAGCAATTCATTGATTTTTGAATCAATCAATAGTAACAAACTGTTGACAATAATTTTGATAAATAATACTTAATTCAATTATATTAGGAGAACATAATATTGTTTCTAAAATCCAACTTAAAGTACTTATATATATAGACAAGTTAACTACTTTGTGAAAAATCTATAATTTATTATAGATTTTGTTTTAATTTCTCAATAAAGACAAGCCATTGTAACATAATTGTGGGTTAGCAAAAAATAAAATAAAATAATCAATTAATTAAATTTATTATATACTAAATATACAGTATATACTATATAATATAAATAATTACTGATAAAATTTTTATTGTCAAAAGTTTTATAAAATATTATATAATTTAACATAATATTGTCATAATTTTAAAAATACTCAAAATGAAGAAATATATTATGATTGCTTACTGAAATGCATAAGTTTAAATTATGTTCACAGAACATTCAATAACCTGAAACACTTCTCAAAAAATATTTATCCGTAGTTTTAACGCGATTTGCGTAATAATTAACCGAGCACTGGCACATTCTATTTTCTCTTATTGCAATATCCTTTCCGAAAATTGGACCATAATCACCATCGTTTAAACTATAAATTGATTGGCGCACATTTTAATGAAAAAATGAAGCTCTTGTCTGTTCTACCATACTTTCCTCCTGTTTTGGTCTTTCCTCAACCAATGAGATTATATCCACCGATTATTTCGGCTTGCCCGAAAAATTAATTTGAAATCGAATTTTAATTCACGTGTTAGCTTTTGATTAATTACAAGAGAGATTTCATCAACATGTTTATGGTTATTATTGTTGAAAATGGTTTTAGATTGAATAGGTAATTCCAGAACCATAATCGATCTTGCTGGTAGAATAGCTGAATTAATAGACCGATCAGGGAGCCCAGAATGATGAATCAAATCATCCCAAAATTGCCATAAAAAATTTTCTTGTAAGGCTTCAATTTGTCATTTTTGTAAAGTAGTCTTCAATCCCATTGAATGGTTTTTCCCAAATCTCAGATTCTTCCATATTCAAAATCGTCTCGTTTAATAATGGATACCAAAGCTGATTCATTGAGAGAAGTAAAGTTCTCGGATTCAAAGATAAGATTAGGATATTTTACGATAATGTTGTTATAAAATTTCTTTAGATCTTGAAAACCATTATTCTTGAATATCGTGAGGTGTACTTGTGAGAAATGGGACCGCAACCAGTGCGCTTTGGCCTCAATTGAGTGATTTTCCCGGTAGACTTAAGTTCAAACTCGTATGACACATTCATTATTTCAAAGATAGTTGATGTATCGAGATTATCCAATATGATGAATCCAAGTCATGAATTAAAATTTAATAAAAAGAAGCACTTCTTACGTTAAGGTAATATCAAAAATTTGAGAGGAAACATGTTTTATTCTAATACTCGATGCTCTTCATTTTTGGAAATAGATTCCAATTCTCTACGAACCTTCAACGTAATATCACCGAGTGTGTCGTAAATAATTTTGGAATATCTCTAACTTCAAATTTATTACATTACATTCTTCTTTATCAATGAGAAGTTCTGTGCGATTTTTGGATGTGTTCAAAAAGATCATCCAAAAAAATAATGCAATGAATACTACTGTAAAGTCGGCTCAAATTATATAAATTCGAAAACTGGAATTTCCTTTTTTGTCTTATTTTCAACACATTAATTTGCCTTTTCGAGGGCGGTGCTCAGTTTTTTGAAAAAAAAAAATGTTACACACTTGTTCCCAGACAACTAGTAGAGAAGATGTTAACACTCGCCCTCCGTCATCTTTGGTGACGTCATCATTTTGCGATGAATTCAAAAACTAATAGATATGGGCACGAATTAATATGGGAAAACATCGCATTCCTGCATCAGTTAACAGTTGACTAATCGTTAAACTTGCTCGATAAATCACTTTGAAACTAATAATCGAATATGAAAATTTTTCAAGAATGTAGTGCCTTACGTAATTTAAAGTAGGAAAGTGAACTATAAAATCACATGATTCAATCACGGATCTAAAATTCCAAGATTATGATTCGTGACTCTTTTTTACCAGAACTCGGCTGTCCTAATAAAAAATCATCGCACATGAGCAAATCGAAAGGTCACGAGATAAGATTTCATAACTTCACTAAATCTGCTGACTTACGACCTCTCACTGACGACGAGCTTCTTCTAAAGGTCGCACTCAACATTCATGATGAAGATGTGAAGTCTGTGAGAAAACTCCTACCTTGGAAAACGGAAAATGAGCTTGCGAATATGATTATAGATGTTTATCCAGAAACCAGAGAAATACCAGAATTAAATTTTCTTTCTCGCCCAAGACTTCCGGTCCCACCGAGTGGCACTCCAGAATATCGAGATTGGCTTATGGAAGCACAGTGGAGTCCTGATGAAGAAAATATATATAAGGAAATAACAGACAATGGAAGAAGAGGGTTAAAGGATTGGAGGGAACTGATCCGAAGGCTGAATGGGAAGAATTTAAGCGACATTATCAGGCATTTCGCAACTTTAAAAATTTAATCATTATAAGTGACTAAAGAATGAAAGGTGATAGGAACCTTCTAGAAACTTCCCGATAAATAATCGCGGAACGATGTTTCTATAATGCATAGAATTTTTTTAAATGATTCAAAATAACTGCTTGGTATTGTGATAATAATTAGAACAATGGAAATATCTTATCGAAAATTTCCTTAAATCTGCTTCGATATCGTTTTTCGAGTTTCAATGAAACACGTTTGTTCATAATCAACTATATCTAAGAATTAATTTAAAGAATTTAATCATATGTTAAAAACGAATCTAAAAAATAAATGATGCCTTCAATAATACGATGGTTTTTATATCTGATGTCTTTTTTATATTTAAATATCAGATATATAGTACATCTTTATTATATCTTTAAAAAATGTCAACTATGCTTTTAAAATACCATTTCTCTAGTGAAATAAATTTTTAAAATATATTAAATATTTAATTAAAACAATACAATCTTAAAAAAAATAGATTAAATATTTTATAAGAAAAAAATTTTATTAAAAAAATTAAGAATTATAAAAAAATTAATTATAGTTACTTCAAATTATTTATTTAAAAATTTTATTAAAAAAATTATAAAACCTAATTTTTTTAAAATTTTATAAAATAATATTTTTAAATTTTTTTTTTTAAAATTTTTTTTTTTAAAGTTTAGGGACAACTGGAATAAATAATTATTCATACTGTCTAAGGATTTACAGATCAATGAATAGTACAAAGAGTTAACTATTTATGTCTCACCCAACCAGATAAATTTTCTACTTACAAAAACAAAACTGTGAAAATAATGGAGAGATATGGCAATTTACACTATATTAAATTCTCTACTATATCATGACACTCCCTAAGACCTAAATCCACTGGGTGGCTTATTGCTATTCCATGAAAGGGGGCTAATGTGCCAAGAATTCACCTAAGTTACCCAGCATCATTGATGTTGTGAATTTCTCATGTGAAGCCTTAACTCTACTAGCACTTAGAAAAAAAATTTTTTTATATAAATATGTTCAGATCTTATCCAAATGAACTTAATATTGTAACTTTGTAGAAAAGTGATTTCAATAAAAGATTGGATGTATCAAAAACCTCTCCAAAAGATATTGACACTTATGTTTCTTATAGTATATTGCTGAAGGAGGAAGGAAAGAAAAAAGAGGATATTGTTTGTTCAATATATCCTGAACTAGCTTCTTTTCTTTCCATATTATTCATAACATAAAAGGTTTCATATCCTGTATCCGCTCGCACCAAACCCAATAACTTATAGTAGATCCCAAATTCTTATGGGTACTGAGAAAATGCATTCAAACATGTGAGATGATCAATAAAAGCTTGTTTACATCTTTTACCAATGTAAAAATTTCTGTCCAATCATGATATAAGAAACTTTATGCTATTTAAAATTCAGGGCCAAACTGAAGTAGGCAAAATTTCTCAGAAAAATTCAAAAATAAGCACTATTAAAGCACAAACAATGACAAAGAGAATAGGAGAGGAGTCTCTTGTCATAAATAACATGTATTGTTTCTCTACAATGTGAGATAACTATATATTAGTTCTTTTTCCTTTCAGAACATTTTTGCCATTGGTAAGAAGGGTGTTGCTTGACTTTTTGGTCACTTGTAGTCAAATTTTTGCTTGAAGAGAAGTAAAAACAAGAGGAAGAAGATATAGGATGACTCTTGAAGTTTTTTTCCAGTTAATTTAAATAAAGTGGTAAGACTATATTAATACAGAAGTATAAAACTTCTTGCAAATATCTTTTTTATATGTGATCAGAGAATCAGTGGATGTGCTTTATTAAATATTAATATACTATACATATTAAATGTATTGCTAAAGTTAAATCTCTAATTAATTCATTTATCTTTGTTAATACTACTCTAAGTGCAACTTCAGAAGTAATTTATTGTACTATTAGTAACTCAGGTGAAAACCTTTTCAACTACTAATTTCATTGCCTATAGATTACTATTGCAAATTCTTTTTATAAGTTTTGACAAAAGTTAAAATTCTAATCATCTTATTTCATATTTTACTTCTTCTAGTAAGATTCATTTTAGACCCTCATTTTTTAGTTTTTCTTTTTCCTATAAAGATTTTTTCATAATAATGATCTTGTTGTTTTAATTTGAAAGATCAACTGGTTTTCTTATTTTGTTTTCTTTATAGATTCCTTGTACTTGTTTCCAATTGATTATTCTTAAGCATCTTTTATTTCAAATTTTCTTTCAAAATTGATTATAAATCTTTTTTTATATTTTTATTATCCACTTTTAGACTTTTTTATTTATTCTCTTTTAACAATATTTTAGATTTAATATTTTCAATATTTGATCACTTTTTATTAGTTTCATATAAAACTTTAGTATATTTTAGCCTATTTCTATAGTCTCTTCTATAAGTATAGTTATATATTTGTCCAATTCTCTTAATTCTACTGTCTTTAATCAAAAGTCTTATTTTTTTCTCTTTTATCTCTTTTCTTCTATTATATAAATGTTTTTGAAAGTCTTTTAAAATACCTTCTATCCTTTGTTTTATATTTCCTATATTCTAATAGGTGTTCTATTGTTTCTGCTTATTGTTTATATGCTATATACTCTACTTGTTTATATAGATTTAGTCTTCTTATAGCCAATTTAAGAAGTGTTGATAACTCTTTATTAATTAATTTGATAAGGCTATTTCTTTATTAGAAATCTTTAAAGAAAATATTTCAAATATATACATTTTTATTCTTTTTTATATCTAATTTCATATATAGTCATATTAATATAAAATTTGTTGATTCTATTTGTTTGAAATCCTGTTTTTTTCGTTTTGTTTTTTTTTTTTTAAATCCTAAGTCAGGTTAGGTATGTGTGCTTTATTAAACATTTATATACTATACATTATTAAATGTTTCACTAAAGCTAAATCTCTACCTAATTCACTTGTCTCTATTTTTAATTTTATTAAACTCTAAGTACAACTTTGGAAGTAATTTATTGCTCCATTAGTAGTTCAGATATAAACCCTTCCAATTACTAACTTCATTGCCTGCAGGTCACTACTATAGATCACTTTTTGATGCTCTGATTGGGCTTAGAATCCCAACCACTTCATTTCATACTCTACTCTTTTTATAAGAATTTTCTTAAGGTTTTTATCTTCTAGTTTTCCTTCTTCTGGTAGTGATTCTTTTTTTGATAAAGACATAGTTTCCTGGCCTGAAAGAATTGAAGGTTTTTTTGTCTTGTCTTTTTTACTGATTCCTAGAGTTTGCTCTTATTAAATAACCTTTTCATATCTTGTATTCTAAATTCTTTTTCGAATTTGATTGCAAACTCTTTTTTGCATCTTTGTTATCTATTTTTTAACTTCTTTTCCTATACATTTACCATGACATTTAGATTTGCCATTTCTAAAATGAAGTCTTTTCTTATAAGACCAGCACAAAAGCTTAGAGTATTTTAACTAGTTGTAGAGGTCTGATTCACTAGTCTATAAATCCACTTGTCAAATTCTCCTAGTTCTTTCTGATTATTGATATTTTGTCTGTTACTTTTTTTTTTAGTTTCCTTTCTTTTTTCTTGTAAAAGCTATTTAAAGCTTCTGAGAGTTCCATCTATTCCTTTATTCTATGTTTCTTAAAGTTGATTCTTATATACTAGAGATTCTAGCAAGTGTTCTATTGTTTCATCCTGTTGACTATATGCAATGCACTTCACTTGCTTATATAGGTCAGGTTTTCTCATAACCAATTTATATAATGTTAATAGCTTGTCATTAATCAGTTTGATAAGAAAGCTTTTTTGTTGAGATTTTTTGAAAAATGTATTCCATGTATGATCGTCTTTTATTCTTTCCCACACTAGATCCCATATGTAATCTTGCTGTTCTAAAATCTGATAACTCTATTTTTTCTTTATTTGATTTTGCTGGATCTACTGGTAGGCAATTATTTTGCTATTTATATTTTTGATAAACTGTCTAATTGGATCATCTAAGGTTATATTTTGCCACCCAATTTCTGTAATGATCTTGTGGAAGTTAAGATCTCTCTATTCGATTGATGGGAGTTTTAGGGCTTCCTTGGCTAAGGCATCTGTTTCTTCATTATATGGGTTATTGGAATAAACTTTGACTTTGATAAGCTTCAGGTTTAATGTTTTTTTCTTTGTTAACTCCACAATTCATATCTATAGAGACCAATTTTTTTCTTTTAGTCATCTCTTGTGTGTTCTTTTTGGATCCTCTTTTTCTATCTTCTTCCATTTAATGATACAAGTCTAGCTATCTATACAAATCTCAACTGTGCTATTAATAGAAACTACTAGGAGTGTAATTAGAATTGCTACCAACTCAGTCCTTGTAGAAGATGATCAATTATCTACTTCTGTTTGAAATCTACTTTCTCTTTCAGTATTTCCTATCTGAATCCATGCAACACCTATTCTTATTTATTTTTTGCCATGATTGATCAATGATCCATCAAAATAAAAGGTCAACTTTTCCTTGAATCCTAGATTGCATTGGAGTATTTTTATTAACTGATCTAAATATACTTTTTCTTTAATATTTTCTCTGATTATAGTTACTTCCCATGTTTCTATATCCAAATAGTCTACTTTTCTGTTTTGAGAAAAAGTCTTGAAAGAATATTGATCTCTATAAATTCTTTTTATAATCATATTCTCGAGTATTGCTTTGGGATTGAGGATTTTTAGGTCTCCCGTTCTTTTAGTAGATATCCTTTTATTGAGATAAGGTATCATGTAGATTCCTTCTTTATCTTTTTTTATAATACAACTATTGTTTTGTATTATTTCTTTTGAGCATTCAAGATATTTTTGTAATCTTGTCTCCTGGTCATTATTGGAACTATAATAGATAAAGTGTTTCACTATTGCATTATATTTCTTTCTTACTTGTTTAAATTTTCTCCAAATTAACTGATTATTCTTGTTGCTCTATACTACTCATAGTTTATATTGCTT